ACAGTGACAAAGGGAATTGAGAGGATGCCAAAGCTTACAAGCGAAGAACGGCGCTGTATGAAACGCGTACGGCATTCATTCCGACGCGGAATTAAAGCGCGCGTCGAAGCAAAAGAAGCGAAAAGAAAGAGCAAAAAACTCGAACGTATTTCGGCACAGTGACAGAGGGAATTGCGAGGATGTCAAAGCTTACAAGCGAAGAACGGCGCTGTATAAAGCGCGTACGGCATTCGTTCCGACGCGGAATTATAGCGCGCGTCGAAGCGAAAGAAGCGAAAAGAAAAAGCAAAAATCTGGAAAGTATTTCGTCACAGTGACAAGGGGAATTGCGAGGATGTCAAAGCTTACAAGCGAAGAACGGCGCTGTATAAAGCGCGTACGGCATTCGTTCCGACGCGGAATTAAAGCGCGCGTCGAAGTGAAAGAAGCGAAAAGAAAGAGCAAAAATCTCGAAAGTATTTCGGCACAGTGACAAGGGGAATTGCGAGAATCGTCAAAGCTTACAAGCGAAGAACGGCGCTGTACAAAACGCGTACGGCACTCAGCCAGACGCGGAATTGAAGCGCGTGGTCAAGCGCGCATCGTATTGTGCGCTAAAGCGCGCGTTGAATTACGCAGAGAATTGCACGTTGATTTGCGCGTCGAACTGCGCGTTTGTGAAGACGAAGCATATGTGCAGATGTGCATATGAAGCATATGTGCAGATGTGCATGTGAAGCATATGAAGCATATGAAGCATATGAAGCATATGAAGCATATGAAGCATACGAAGAAAAAAAAAAGAAAAGAAAAGCGCGAAAAAAAAGACGCGCGCGCGAGGGGGATTAAACCGGCGACGTGGTGGACAGACAGACGGACGGACGGACGGCGACTCGGCCTAAGGCCTCCGCTAGACTACTACCGCTAGACTACTATACTACTAGAGCGCGCTGTTCGCGCGAGTGGGCCGTAGCTCCTGTGCTGGCTGATGGCTGTTTTCTGCATTGCGCGGAATCACTATGCGCCATGCTCGGGAGGGCTGATTGGTATATGCAAATCAGACATTCCGCAGCAAGTATAGCAAGCGGCCCTCAGAAGCACATACGGCGCTTAAGGGCCACACACACACACAATACGAAGGCGGAAGGAAACTGAGGTTGCAGAGGGTAGCACGCAACTTTAGCCTGTCAGCCAGTGTGAAACGCTCGCGCGGGACTCGAACCCGCAGGGGGCTCCACACACAGGTGGACAGCTCCCCATTCCTTCCCGTAGGGAGCGAGCGTGTCGTCCGGGGTCCGGACGCTGTCATTTAACGCCGTACAGTGGCGGGTCGTGGCTTCAACTGTCAACTAGCGGGTCCAGCGGGTTTCTAGCTGGCGTGCATGCTGGAACCGGGTCGTGTACCGCTGCTCCGTTTCGCGTGCTGCCTGCTTCAGTAGGCGCAGGCTCCGTTTCAGCTGCCTGGTTCAGCAGCCGGGGCCGATGTCCTGGCGCTCCTTTGCAGCAGGCAGCACGCGAGACGGAGCAGCGATATACGACCGAGTTTAAGCATGCAAACCAGCTGGAAGCGCGCTGGACCGCGCAGACCTCCACGTGCACAATTTTGAAGACGCGGACAAAGAGGAGTTGAGCCTGCTGAGGTAGATGGGATAGCATAAATAAAGCTGCGCACGGTGCGCAAAACCGGAGATGCGCAAAGTCGGAGGCGCGCACAAAGCGACAACCGGGAAGGCACAAGGCCCAGCACAGTTGCGCTCGGTGGACAATGGAAACTAAGCGGGAACACGTTATTATGGGGAATGGTATATGCGCAAAGCCGAACGCGGAAAGTTTGAGGTGGAGGAAAGGGAGATGTACAGATTAGCTTTAACGCGCGATGCAGAAGAAGATGCAAGGCGTTAATTTTAAAGAGTTGTTATGCAGAGGTGAACACGCAAAGCATAGCGTATAAAGTCGGGGTCACAACACAACTCCACACATAAGGCCCGGCGCAAACTGCTGTCTGTGCAAAGTGAAAGGCGGCGGCTGGTAACAGCTGCAATTTGCTTTACGTTCTATTGGGAACACGTTATAATCAGAAGTACAAAATGCAAGATTAGAGGCGGAGGAATTGGATATGCAAAGTTGGGGCCGCAACAGAAATAAACGCACAAGGCCCGGCACCGCGCAAGCGTGGATGTGCACAATTTTGAAGATGCGTACAGAGAGGAGTTGAGCCTGCTTAGGTAGATCGGATAGCATAAATAAATCTGCGCACGGTGCGCAAAAGTGGAAGATGCGCAAAGTTGGAGGCGCGCACAAAGCGACAACCGGGAAGGCACAAGGCCCAGCACAGTTGCGCTCGGTGGACAATGGAAATGAAGCGGGAACACGTTATTATGGGGAATGGTATATGCGCAAAGCCGAACACGGAAAGTTTGAGGTGGAGGAAAGGGAGATGTACAGATTAGCTTTAACGCGCGATGCAGAAGAAGATGCAAGGCGTTAATTTTAAAGAGTTGTTATGCAGAGGTGAACACGCAAAGCATAGCGTATAAAGTCGGGGTCACAACACAACTCAACACATAAGGCCCGGCGCAAACTGCTGTCTGTGCAAAGTGAAAGGCGGCGGCTGGTAACAGCTGCAATGTTGCAGTTTATTTGCTGTACGGTCTATTGGGAACATGTTCATAATCAGACGTACAAAATGCAAGATTCGAGGCGGAGGAATTGGATATGCAAAGTTGGGGCCGCAACAGAAATAAACGCACAAGGCCCGGCACCGCGCAAGCGTGGATGTGCACAATTTTGAAGATGCGTACAGAGAGGAGTTGAGCCTGCCTAGGTAGATCGGATAGCATAAATAAATCTGCGCACGGTGCGCAAAAGTGGAAATGCGCTAAGTTGAAGGCGCGCACAAAGCGAAAGCCGGAAAGGCACAAGGCCCAGCACAGTTGCACTCAGTGGAGAGTGGGAATGAAGCGGGAACACGTTATTATGTGGAATGGTACATGCGCAAAGCGGAATGCGGGAAGTTTGACGCGGAGGAGAGGAAGATGCAAAGAGTATCTTTAACGTGCGAAGCCGGTTACAGGAGAAGATGCAGCGCGCGAATTGTAAAGCGGACAGGTTGTTGCTGTAAGGAAGAGAGATGCAGTGGTGAACACGCAAAGTATAGGGTATAAAGCCGGGCCCACAACATACTCCACACATAAGGCCCGATGCAAACTGCCATGCTCCTCAGCCTCCACCAGTACTGCTGCTGTAGTCGCCGCCTCAGGAGATTGCTCGGCGCCCGCAGATAGCGCTGTGAACGCGTCTACCTGCAGGTATGCGCTTTCGAACGTCGCCTCGAAGGTGGAATGACCGTCCAGCTTCATGGCGACAAGCGCCATACCAGCCGTAATGGCAGCGGTCATGCGATGCACAGTGGCACACATGTTGCCAAAGGCAGTGGGCCCACTAGCACCCGGAGTTGGCGTCCTTCCAGCGAGCAGGAAGTCCTGCACTCGGGTAAGAGCGTTGCATGTCAGCTGCGCCTGGCTGTCGTTGATGCTCTTGCCAGTGTACTTCGTGCTGTAGTAGGCAGAGTCGCGGGCGCGGTCAGCGGCAGGTTGCAGCAGTGCACAGTCCCCCCGTTCATCTTCAGGGCGGGCCAGTTGCGCTGCTGCCTCTGCCGTGTAGACGCGATCCACCTCGCACGCCAGAGT